CTCCGGAGACGTACCGGCAGAGACCTCACCCAAGCCGTGAACGCGGACGTTCACGCTTAAGGGGGGGGCCCTCAACCGCTCCTTCGCGGATTAACTCCAGCCTGCACGAACAGACTAAAACGGGAAGCGAAGGAGGTCGGCGGACCCTATCGGAGGGTCACAGCCGGGGACGCGTTCAAGTCAAGTCGTCTTGACTTCTCGGACGTCAAGGACGCGAGACATAAGAACAGGACAGTACGAACTGCCTGAAAAAATGTTGGGCCCTCGTAATGACCGACATTACGAGGACCGCGAAACCCGGTTCGGATCGGAAAAGTCGGACGACCCCCCCGAACAGGATTGCCGGACGATCCGTTAAGTCCAGCAACCACGGCGAGGAGGGGCGCCCGACGAACAAGGAGATCAACAGTGGGATCACGAGGGCCCTCGGTGGGAAGAATAAGCGACCAAGAATGCCCGTCGCTTTGGTCTCGGTATAACCGAGAAGGGGGAGGCTCACGTCGAGCTTTCAATCAGCATCCGCGTCGGAGAGCCCGGCAGAAGACCGGATCATGACCCTCCCGGTGTGGATCGTGCGCGAGAAAGCGCGCAAAACGCGTCGGCAGATGCGCAGACGAGCGAGGCTGCATTCCCCACAGCAGTGGCCAGGATAGTTAAGGAAGGAGGGGTAAGCGAAAGCAACTCAGCCTGAGGGGCACCAGTATATGCGCACAGACGCGAGACACCCCAAAACCGCCGCCGACACATGCCCCATAATACGGAAAATTACGGGGGATGAGAACGTGGCACGTGAGCGAGTGCGCGCCATGCTCCAACACCGGTTGCGTCATCACCAAATCACCCCGCCACCACCCCCAGAATATATCGAAAAAATTAACGGGGCAATTACACCTGCACGCGCATGGCGTATGGAGATACTGTACGCCGGGCGACAAGCAAGAGCAAACCAGGACGGCGCTGCCCGAGGGTACAAAGAATGCCCGCGTGAGGGTACACACGTCACACGCCCCCCCGACCGTAAAGGGAGGCGGGCGTGTGACGGAATCGTATGCCCGCATCGAGCGGATGCCTCGAAATCCCGACCCACGACACGCCGCCCGAGCGGCATTCTCCCTCTATCCGCCTACGCGCGCGGCCACGGACGAAGGGAAGGCGAACGTGAGCCACTTGCGCGCTTACGCGCCCCCGCCGCCCAAGACGAAGGGCTCCGTAGGGCGCGATACCACGACAGCCTCCGCTACTGACCACTCCATTCGCGGCATCATGAGGACGCACTCCGAATGCGAAGCACACAACGCGATCGCGTATTCGAGAACGCAACACGCGGTTGCCACGCACGCAAGCCAAACGCGACGCCTATCCCCCCTTTTTTCCCCTTTCAACGGTACTAAATCTGACATCCTGTTCTGTGCGCGCCGCAGGGACCAAGAGAAGATCGTTCGCTACCGCCGACCATGGTCGCCGCGAGAAATTCTGCGCACCGCGCGCCCGCGTACGAGACGACCAGGAGGGGCGGGAGCACCGCCCGAGCAAGCCCCCCCGGGAGACAAGTCGAAGATTGATGAAACGCACAACCCACAGCCCAAACGTCGAGGACGTCATAGGGGCTTCGACCGTCGAGGAGAAAGTCGCATTGCACCATGCGTTGGATGCCTCGGGAGGCTCCACCAGCGTTATGCCGGCGGCATAAATTGAGATCTGTGGAAGCCCTCGTCGCAACAGCGTTCGGCGATCGACCCAATTGCGTCATCGATACAAGAGCAAGGACTCCCGCGCACAAGTACCGCCCCCGTCAGCCGCGAAAAGGCCGATATGACCGTTCCCCCTCTGTAGCCACTAGTCGCTGTACCCACAGGGCCACGCACTCAACCTCTACGAGAGCACAAAGCGCCCTGTAAGGACGCACGGAGAAGGGAGCATCAGGGAACTACTGCCGGCTCGAACGACGACGTTCGAGTCGCCCCGCTCGGGCACTGGAGGGAACATCGGGAGTAATTATGATAGCAAGGAAGGAACGCAGGCAGAGATTCACGGCCTGCACAGCTGCCCCAGGGACGACCCCGCCCCGGCGCATGTCGCTCTCGGCACGCGAAGAATAGAACCGGGCCGGCGCCCCCACAGCGAAGGGAGCTCATTCAATGCCTCCCCGCGGTCGGGGCGTGACCACGATCTCAGCCCGGGCCATACCTTCGAAGGGACGAAGGGAGACGCATTCGACAATGCCGTGCCCCATGGACCTCTCAGGATGTGGTGGCGCCAACGCCCATTCCCGGCTCGTGCCCTAGCCGAGAAGGGTGCACGAGCCGGTCGGCGACCCGGAACGCGAGCGTTCCCGGAGACATAGTACCGTAAGATGAATGTCTCACGGCCGGGGGAGGACGAGACGCATTTCGACAGAAGGGGACGAGCATGCACACCCCCGCCTCCACGCGCCAGAAGGCATGAGAGGTAGACAACGGGGACGCGTCTCCGTTCGCGACGCGCTGCAGGGAAGACTTGGCACCCCGGAGAACCGGCGGCGTCGCGTTCAAGAGCGAAACAGAAGAAGGGGGAAGGGGTCAACACGTGTACGCGTGTGCCCCTGGGATGAAGCGCAACACGCGAAATATACCGAGGCCGCACCGCAGCTTGTGTTGAAAATTTCGCAAGAAAACATTTTCGCGGGAAACATTTTTGGGCAATTTTTTTTGGCAATTTAATCGAGAGCATAGGGCAGTCGCTGGAGCGTGCGCGGACAAAAACGCCTCTGTGTCCGTCCGTCCGCGTCACGTGCGGTAACTACAGTACGACGCGTGCGGCGCGCGTCTGTGAAACCATCATGTCTCTAAACTGCGCAAGTACGGTTTGGATTTTGTAACGAGATGCATCCGCCCGCGCTGCCCCACTGCGCGCTCGTGCCGCTGCGCTCCTACATCACGCGCGGCCCCTCTTCGAGCGTCCTCAGCTCGCTCTGCGTGCCGCCGACTACGCGTGGGCTATTCGATTACTTCCCGTCCCCCCCCCGAAACTATTTTCGCGAAGCGCAACGAGCTGTTTGGCATCGACGCCGATACCTACCTCGCTGACCCATCAGACGGACCACGCAACCGAACACCGAGGAGGACATCCTCCTCGAGGACGTCATCAGATGCAGCGACGCTCCGACGCACCCAACGTCGCACAATTGCGCGCCTTTGGCCCCTACACGACGCGCTGCCACACCACAAACGCGCAATTCCCCTGATCGACACCGTTGACCGTCAACCGCCGGAGGGCGACTGCGTCGTCACCACAATCCCCTACGTCTCGCCCAATCTCCCGTCACCGTGCTGGCGGCGGCCCAGAGCCGATCCGCTGCAAACAAGAGAGAGGAGAGGTCACTGGAAAGGACAGTGATTGCCGCACGGGTGGTTTGGGGAAACGAAACGCCGACGAGACGAACGTTGTCGAAGACCGCGACGCGTGACGCAGCGTCGAACCCCCTTAGTAGCGGAACCCGTGACAAGACGGAGAAGGGCCAGAAAACTGAACCGTCGAGACCGTACATAATACTGTGCGAGGATTCGGGAATCGCGCCGACGGTAAAACGGCTATCGTGGAGAAGGGAGCTCCGTCCGACGCGTAATCCACCTGCGAAAACAAAACGAGCGGGTCGCCATCGCCGCGGATGGGGGAAGAGTGTATGGCAATACGAGGATGCTGGGACTGTCATAAAATAACGCACGGACGAGGCCACGGGCATTGCCAGGAATGCGGTGGGAAAACGTGCGGTATCCGGGGCACCCCGACAATCGCGTACGAGTTCGGGACGAGTACATGGAACGGATCGGTGACGCCTTCTCGCAACGGAAAGCGGGACGCACGACTGCACGGGCACGGCTGTTGAATCGGCAAGGCAGGGGGGAGTGAACAAAGAAGGACATAACTGGTCAGGCAACGGAGCCCCTTCTCACGCCACCCTGGACGAAGATAGAAAGCGAGGATCAGAGGGGAAGGAGACGGAAGGATTACGAGAAGTCTTCACGGACTAGAGACAGGACGGAGGCGCGGACGGAAGCACCAAGACAGTCCCTCTCAATGTGGCTCGATGGTAACGAGAGGAGCTGGGGTGGACGTTGGCGAAATGGATTGGCTACGGTGTCAAGGAAAACAGGGGAAGCACGTCGGGAAGGAAAATCACCAGAGTAAGGGAGGAGAGATCAGCACGCACGCGAAGGAGCACGGGGCGAGACGCCGAGAATACCCCCCCAGAGAGCGGAGTCGTGGTAAGGAGCGGACGGGACCGTATGGAGGACGCGGTTAGACATGGCTCACGCTCCACAAGCACCCGTGGACGCGGACGTCCCCGCTTAAGGGGGGGGCCGTGTAGTATAACCCCCCCTGGGGCTTTATTTTAGATTAGATCAACTCAGAATCGGATCGGTTACTGTAGGGCTCGATGCTCTACAGTACCACCACGTGTACCCCCAAGTACAGGGGGGCACGTGTACACGTGTACGCGCGAAACGAAGAGCGCGCACACACGTGTACTGTCAGCCCCGATGGCTGACAGTATTACAGTGTCGACCGACCGCTACAGTACGTCGCTACAGTACATCGGTACTGTACTATTATGATAGGTTATTATGTACATTAAATATGGAGCGGACCGGCGGCGGTGGAGGAGGACAAGGACGGACTTGTCACCCACCGACCGTCAAGGTCCGCCTTCCCGCTTATTCTAAGGTAGCGTTCGCTAACTACCTTAGAGCGGCACCGAGCGCGGGTTGAGGACGCACGCGGTACGCCCACGAGCCGGCTCCGCCTCCGTCCGTCGGTACTGGATCGTTACCCAGTACCGCGCCGGGGCGTCGAGGCGTCGAACCGCTCGCGCGTACCGGCGTCCTCCCCGTTCCCGCTCTACCACGCTACCCGGGCCCGCCGCCCGGTGCCGTTAGCTGGTGTCCCGCTTCACCCACGTCTTCCCGATCGGACGGGGTCTCGGTCGAACTGTGCATACACCCCTATCGCTGGGGGTGTTTATGCTACAGGATGCACAAGGCACACCGACTCGGAATGAGCGGCAAGGGTCCGACCGCCAGGCTCGAAGTGCTTCTCGACAGCTCTTCCCTCCACTTCCCGACTCCTCGCCTTCGTACCGCGATTTCGGCATGATCTGTACTGATTGTTCGCACTTCAAAGCTCTGCATTTCGTCCAAGAACGCATCGTGAGAAGTTCTGCGGCAAGGCCGATGTTTTCCACATGCTGCGGGAAGGTAAAGCTGTCATTGCCCCTTCTTCTCGACCCTCTAGCTCTTCTGCGCTCTCTTCTCATCGATGATACTCCAAGGTCCCGCCGATTCCGTAAGAACATTCGAGCATACAATGCAGCGCTGTCTATGGCATCCGTGGTAGCCATATGGGTGAACAGAGGGCCCGGCCCTTCCAATTTTAACCCCACAATGACGACGCAGGGCGAGATGTACCATTACATGGGTCCCATGATGCCATCCGAGGGGCGGGCGCCTTCCTACGCTTCCGTTTACATTCACGACACTGACTACGCCACCCAGACGCGTACAAGGCTTGAAAACTCTAGACGACTGGAAGAGGCATTGATGACGCAACTAACGCACATGCTGCACGAATGCAACCTCTACGTGCAAACATTTCTGTGTATGCGAGAATGGGCTCAATCTCCTCACAACAAAACTCCAGCCTCGTACCAGATGGTCATCCATGCCGACCGAAGGCCAAGTCATGAGCACGTGCGCCGGTACAATGGTCCCGAAGCTTCTGAAGTGGCTGCATTGATCCCTGGAAATGAAGACGGAGAGATTGGGCGAAGAGATATCGTCGTTCGCAGGCGAGGGGCTCTGAACAGTAACGGGAACGAAGTGTTGGATCCGATTTCAGTCAGTCATCGTGCATACGATCCATTGAGTTACGTGCTTTTGTTCCCGAACGGTAGAGATGGATGGTATCCAGAGCTTTGATTCTCCAGTGAGGACGACGGCAGACGTACCAAGATTACTCCGATGATGTTCTACGGATGGCATTTGTTCGAAAGGGGAGGCGAGGTCAGCACGATCTTACACGCAGCTCGACTCTTTCAGCAATATTTAGTTGACAAGTTCTGCAAAGTGGAGGCAGAAAGGCTTTTTATCTCCGCCACAACCAGACACAGCTTCGAGCGGCGGACTACACCTCACTGCGCGACAGCCTAGGAGACTCCGGTCGTGCTGAAGATGAAGCCGACGCTGTACGGGCAGGACGACTATTCATTCTCCCTTCTACGCACATCGGATGTGACCGCTACATGAGGCAGCAGATGCACGACATGATTGCTATATCTAACCAAATTGGCCACCCGGACATCTTCCTCACCATGACATGCAATCCTAGCTGGCCGAAGATCACAAGAGCCCTGCTGCCCAATCAAACTCCTCAGGACACACCCGATCTGTGCGCACGTGTGTTTCGTCTCAAAATGAAGGATCTCATGTCCTTGGTCATCAAGTAGGAAGTGTTCGGAACCGTCGTTGCCCATGTACGAGTCCTCGAATTTCAGAAACGAGGTATTCCCCACGCTCACGTGGTATTTTTCCTAGAGGAGGTCTCCAAGAATGATCTGCGTAATCCCGAAAACGTCGACCACATTATCTCTTCCGAGAACCCGTCTGCCCAAGATCCAGAACTCCAAGAGGTCGTGCTTAAGCATATGATTCACAATCCATGTGGAGAAAACAATCCAACAGCCGTGTGCATGGGCGAGCAGTACTGCAGGAAAAGGTTTCCGAACCCGTTCAAACACGAAACCAGCCAGTCCGAAAGTGAGTACTTCACCACGTACCGCAGAAGGTCCCCCTTGGCAGGTGGCGTCTCCATCGAGCGTCACTCCCGTAATGGCCGACGACAGAAATCCGTCGTGGTCGACAACTCCTGGGTCGTGCCCCACAGTCCTCTGCTTCTAAGATCTTTCGCTTGCCATTTGAATGTGGAACTCTGCGTGTCACGCGTTGGCGGAATCAAGTACCTCTTCAAGTATGTGTGCAAGGGACGAGACCCAGTGACCATGGAAATCACTGCCAAAAAGGAGTGCTACGACGAGATCTCCAACTTCCAAGATGCCAGATACGTGTCTGCATCGGAGGCCGCATGGAGGTTATTCTCCTTTGATATTGTGGATCGCAATCCTCCAGTGGTCAGACTTTCAGTGCATCTGCCCAACCACCATACGTTTTACTTTGAGGAAGGACGAGAGCAGGAGGCGGCGCTTCGACCGGCATCAGGTACGAAGCTGACCCAGTGGTTTAAAGCCAACGAAAAGTACCCAAGCGCGAGGCATATTCGGTACCACAAGTTTCCAAAGTACTTTACGTGGAAGACAAGCAGCAAGTCATGGAGTCCAAGAGCATCCCTGCGAAGACGGAACGCCAGCAGCGAAGAGGAAGCCTACGATTACAGTGGCACAGGCGCCAACGTAGTCGGTCGAATCTATACTGTCAGTCCGAGGGAGGGTGAGCGCTACTTTCTTCGCCTCCTCCTCACACAAGTGCCGGTGGCAACATCATTCGAGAACTTGCGAAACATCGACGGCGAGCAGTGCACCAGCTTCCGACAAGCTTGCTTACGACTTGGTTTGCTGGCCAACGATGCCAAGTGGAAGCACGCCATCCGAGATTCATTCCGGTCAAGCTTCGTTCCCCTTTCTCATCTGTTCGCTACGATTTTGGCACATTGCCAACCTTCGGATCCTCTCTTGCTGTGGAACGACCACCTGCACATGTTTCTCACCGATATTCGCAATCGCGCACGCAGACAACCCATTCGAAGACAGAAGCTTCGCGATGATAACCACGCCACATCTTACGTGCTTGGGGAGGTACAAGAGGCCCTGCAGACGGTGCGTTCCAACTGGACGCTCGCACACTCCGGACTCCCACTCCCCGATGACAGCCTGCCCGCTTTGGAACAGCCAAACGAGATCCAGACACCCGAAGCACAAGCGCAGCAGTGCGAAGAGCGACTACAGGCATCGTTGCCGCTGTTAAACACAAATCTGCGACATGCCTTTGACGAAATAGTAGGCTCCATGCTTCCAGGCGTATCCGTCTCGGCATTGCTTCAAAGATCCTCAAGCGCCGTTGCGGGACCTTCTATGCCAACACAAAGTCGTCGTCTCTTCTTCCTCGATGCTTCTGGCGGAACAGGCAAAACATTCGTGCTCAGCACCATTCAAGACTTCCTTCGTTCGCGCCGCAAGAAAGTCATCGCCGTCGCTACATCTGCTGTTGCTGCAGTGTTGCTCGACGGTGGACGCACCGCTCATTCCGTGTTCAAGATTCTCATTCCTGTATCTGCCGAAAGCACTTGCAACTTCTCCACAAACTCTGATACCGGTCGTACATTGCAACAAGTCGATCTTATCATATGTGACGAGATCGTCATGTGCCTTCGAAACTGCATTGAGACTATCGATCGCTCCCTTCGCGACTTGATGCAAACCGACCGGCCCTTCGGAGGAAAGTTCCTTGTGCTCGCTGGAGACTTTAGACAAATCCTTCCCGTCGTTTCGGACGGGTCCAGAGGTCAAATCGTGAGCGCGTGCGTCAAATCTTCCCCGCTGTATCGAGAGTGCCGATTCCTGTGCCTTACCGAGAACATGCGCCTCGCTGCACTCCAAGCGGACCCTGCAGCAGATGTGGAGGCTCTCAACTTCCCACAGTTCCTCCTCAGCGTCGGGGAAGGCAGACTTCAATGCGAGCAGCGCCCGGAATGGATCTCACTACCACAGCCCGTAGCGTTCGAGCACGCCATCCGCAATTTATGCCTCAAGGTCTCCCACGGCATTCGAGACAATCACGCCGACCCTACATGGCTCACCAATCGCGTTATACTCACCACAAACAACAGACCGCTCGAGCAGGTCAACGAAGTCATCAGCAACATGATTCCGGGACCGTATCGAACATATTTAAGCCCAGACAAGGTCGAGAGCGAAGACACCAACGCACTGATCTATCCCACGGAAATGCTCAACACCTTGACGGCCGGGTCTGCTCTACCAGACCACAAGCTCACGCTCAAGAAAAGTGTCATCGTCATGCTTCTGCGCAATCTCGATCCCACTTCCGGTCCCGTCAACGGCGCCCGATATATCATCGAGAAAATGACCAACAACTTACTCTTTCTACGCGTTACCTCGGGGTCACATGAAGACAACAGACTCTGCCTTCCACGAATGCCTTGCGGACCAGGCGATGACAACTTGCCCATCCCTGGCTTTATTCGAACGCAGTTCCCCATTCGCACGTGCTTCGCCCTTACAACGAACAAAGCCCAAGGCCAGTCCTTCGGTGGCCGCATTGGTCTCGACCTACGAGATCATTGCTTCTCGCACGGTCAACTCTACGTCGCATTATCGAGGACTACTCACCCAAGCAACGTCACTATCCTCACTCGAGAGTCCGATGCAACAACGCGAAACGTAGTGTACCCCGAGGTCCGGCAGTAGTCATCAAAAAAGTAAACGCCATTCTCTTTACATCTTCCCCTTCCCACCCTTCCGAATTATTGCTCCTCCACGTGGACTTGGCTCGCCGCGCGAAGCGCGCAGGGAGCCCACTTTCCCCCCTTACTAAAATCGGTGTCTGTGTGTCTGTGTGTCTATGCGTCTGTCGGTTCCCGCGTTGCCGGCCACGGGCGGGGCCTGGCCGCAGGCCAGGCCGCCACGTGAACACGTGTGTACAAGGGGCGGCCACGGGCGGCCTCGGCCGCATGCCAGGCCGCCACGGGGACGCGTGGCTGTCACGGGCTGTCACGATACGCCTAATGTTTTGCATAAAATTCCCAAATGTGACGTTCCGCGGGAAGACCACATTTTAAGCAGAAATTCCGCGGGCCATTTAAAAAAAATCGGCATTATATCAGATATGGCATCGGCAGCAGCGGAGCGGAAATGGAGCGTCACTGGTGGGGGGGCGATGCGTGTTGGGGGCCGGCGCCACGCAGCCCATGGCGAGGACAAGGCGTGCGGGGGTGCGGTGGCGGCGCCGTCTAGAGCGACGCGCCTGCCGGGGATTGGGGAGCGGCGGTGGGGAGGAGGGCCGCGCGGACGGCGCGCGGTTGGCGAAGGAGCGTAGCGTAATGCGGTACAGGCGAGGGAGTGGTAGGAAAGAGCGATCGACAAGGCTGACCACGTCGAAGCAATTTTCAATCTCGGGGTCCTACTGTGTTATGGCGCCGGAGGAGTGGAGGACAATAGGATACGAGGGAAGGAGTTGTGGGAGGGAGCGGTTGACAAAGAGCACGGCGGTGCGATGGTCAGTCTCGCGGCTCTACTGTACAACAGCGGAGAAGGAGTGTAGCATAGCGCGATTCGAGCGAGGGAGTCGTGGGACGTCTATTCTGCAGCGATGGCAGCACATCCAGCTCCTCGAGCGCGCTCCTGCTCTCCATCCCGGCACTGCCGCTACCGCCGCTCATCGTCGCGCTAGCGTGCTGTCGCTGGGGTGAGGGGGGGCGGGACGCACGGCGCGCCGAGGTTAGGGCGCGCGTAACGGAGGCGGCGGCGCACATTTAGACTCGCACGCTTTGGGCGTGCGGAACGGGCGGTGGGGATGCTCTCGTGAGCACGGGCGGGAAGCACGGCGGCGAAACGCAGGGCAGAAAGGTGCTTGCCCCGCAGGTTGCACTTGCTACATGCAGCTCAGGAGATGCACGGCCCCTCGCGTCCGCCCTCCATTTCCCCGCTGCTGCCGCCGCCGCTCATCTTCGCGCCTTTGCGGTGCTAGGGGGCGGCGAGGGGGAATGCTTGCCGGCGGATCGAGGGGCGACCCCTTCCTTTATGCACACCACCCGCGATATACGAAGTGTGCGGCGGGGACGGGCGAATCCCCGCCGCGCGCGTGTGCGCGTGAGATATCGATTGCGTCGAATGTGTCGGGAGACCACCCGAAAGGGGCGGTCCGGAGGAGATTTTGGTGAAGGGTAAAAGGGTGGTAAATAAAGTTACCTTAAAGGGAGGGGGAGGAGCGGCAGGCTATTGCCTCAGAACCGCTACAGAGGGTGAGCACGGTCAGGGGACGGGGTTGTCGGGTTGATGGTTCAGGTGATCGAATGTGCTGAGGTCGAAGACGAGTAGCGTCTTCGACCTGGCTTTATAGTCCTATTGACTCTACAACAAAAGTAGGCGCACTACCATAAAAGGGAGGTTGCGCCATCCACGATATGTCTAAACGGTTACACCCTAAAACATGTAGAATTGTAAGTGGCACGTCCTTAAGGGACTCTATCATTGATAGCTAATTGTAGCCTACAAATCCCTGAATTGATATTGATAACATAGAAGTGTGATATCTACTGTAGTCTAGTCAATAAGTCTAACACTCCCCAAACCTTTTCGTGACATATGTCATGTGTTCACGAATTGTGATTGATCCACTGTTCGATAGGATGTGTAAGAATTGACCGTTGTATCATTTCGATCAGTATATCACTTTTCTTGACCTTGGTCAAAGAATCTGCGGGGTTGTGTTCGGAGCGAATGAAGCCTATGGCGTGCAGTTCGTGTCTCTGGTATGCATCCTTGACAACTTTAACATCGATCATTAGTCGCCTTTCGGATGTTATCTTTGCTTTAGTGATAACATCAAACAGGCATAGACTATCCGTAAGCATATCGATCGGAATGTCGAGCGATGTCATGGTGTGAAGATCGTTTTTCATTGCGAAGGCCATATCGAAAGCGTCAGCAAAGGCCATTGTTTCGCTTCCTAGGACAGATCTGGAAACGCGTTTGGATTTGTGCGACGACCAGAACAATGGTTGGCAATTATCATTTGCATCAGCAAGGAAAATGATATATCCTAACTGAGAAGATCCGTCAAGGTTGTTTCCGTATGATGCATCGGAATAGACTTGTAACCGAAGACTTTTGTGGTCCAATTTAGGAAATTTGAGGACCTGATCTGTACTGGCAAGGAGATGTTTTACCACAGAATTAAGTCCCTTACAGTACTTCGTGGGGTCCGAGTTGACGATTTTTTCAGTAACCTGAGCTGCCTGTGCAATAGAGCATGTAGTATCCGGACGGGACTGAGTGGCCCAAGAGAGTTGGGCACGAAGTGAGCGAAAGTCTTGAGAGAAGCTTCCTTACTGATATTCTTAATCTTGGAGATATAGTGCTTCTGATGTACTTAGAATCCGCTAGGTGTGGATTCAATCTTAATGCCTGCAAATTGGACCTTGTCGTAGTCCCTCGGCCAACATTTGAATTTCCTTTCGACACACTTGGCCTGTTGACAAAACTCTTCAGTGCCGGCTTGTAGACAGTCATCATCATAAGTAGCACATAGCCCAGTCAGCCTCTCCAATTCGTTTGAAGAAGAAGGCGGCATCGGTTACACTGGCCTTCATCCCAAGTTCCTTCTCTAGATGATGCTTTAACGTTCTACCCCAGTAGTCACCACTATCGGCTAGTCCATACAACGGCTTGAGTAGTTTCAAGAGTTGATTAGAATCCAAGTCGAACTCAGATGATGGTTTAACATAGACATCACGGGAGAGCCCTTCCGTACTCTGCAAATATGCCTGTGTGACATCTGTTGAGAAGAGTCTAAAGTCAAAAAGAGCAGCAAGACCGACAAGTAGTTTTACGCTGAACTGTCGTGCCGTTGAGGTGTCGTGAACGAATGACCGTTTCATCTTGTCCTTGTGGCCTTGTACAACCTATCGGGCTTTCCATACTTCCTTGTTTGTTCCAGAGTCTTTTATGGCGAGGACGAATCGTCCATTTAAGATGTTTGCGTTGTCTGGAACTTCATCGCGAAGCACTACCTTCCAAGTACCTCTTTCGATCAGTCCTTCTATTTCCTCTCGTTTAGCATTATCAAATTGTTGTGCACGAGGATCATTGGGATGTATAACTTCAGTAAGAAGGACGTTATTGGGTGGATTTGAGGCTTTGCCACTACGGAATGGAGCAGTTTGCTGGTGGAGAATAGATTCGGGGGAAGCGTAGTATGGCTTGATTTGATAAGCGTTGAACGTTTGTCGATAAGTTCCTTCGCTGTTCTGAACAGTTATCATTCGTCCGTGAACATTGCAAACAAGGAATGGACCAATCCATTGCTTCTCTTGCTCAGAGAAGACTAGAATCTCGTCTCCAAGATTATACACACGATCGGAGGCTGGAGGGATGTTCCGATTCAGAGCAGCAAGTACACGTCGTTCTGCGATGATTGCGTTCATTTCCATCTGCGCTGTTGAAAGAATTTGCATTCTTTCACGCTGCGAAGGTATTTCCGTACTTATGATTGGGAAGCGCGGAACAATTCCGAAGACTAATAGAGAAGGGACTAGACCGTTCTCTCCGATTGTGTCGTTCATTGCCTTGACTGCAATTTTCAGAAGAATGAGCGGAGAGGCGTCCGGGAAGTCCGCTCGTACTTTTCTATAAATCCTTCGCAGTGGTCCGTGAAGACGTTCTCCAATACCTAACGACGAGTGGGCTTTTACACCAGATATGCGAAGTTGAATTCCAGCTTGTGCAGTTATCTCGCGCCATCGATCAGATGTGAATGCGGATCCTTGGTCAACGCGAAGTCTATTTGGAAGGCCAGTATACAAGGTACACCACGCTTCGACGAAGGCTAGCCAAATACCTTCAACGCTTTGGCCATAAGTGGCGCCATGAGCGTCTAGAAAGATGGCTGACGAGAATCTAGTGGCTGTGTCGATGACGTGAAGTACTGCTTTTCCATCTAGAAACATCAGGTCAATGGACAATTCGTCACCGAACTTTAAGTCCTGTTCATTGGGTAGCGATACTTTAAAACGCACAGGAGTGGGGCCAAGGCGTTGACAGGTGTCACAAGAAGCTTGCAGAGACTCGAGAAACTGCTTTGTGGCCTCATCAGCTTCAAAAGGGCGGGCCAAGCGAAGCAGATTCATGAGTTTCTCTGATGTGGGATGGGAAAAACCGCGATGAAGCTTGATCAGTTCGGCTTTGGTGAAGTGCGTTTTGGAGGAGTGATCCCACTCCAGATAGATGTGACCCAGCTTGCGCCGAAGCGGTATGTCAAGACCAAGCTTAGGCGATCGGAGCACGTTGTTGACGCTATCAATGAACATATGGTACTTGTCCAAGAGGTCAAGTCCAATAAGAAAGGGGACATTGGCCTTGACAATGTCAACGTGTTCGCGAATTAAGTAACCATCAGCAATGGGAATGGATATGTTCATGGTTCCAAGTGAAGCTTGGGAGTCATTACCGAACCTGAAGTGTATCGGGCTCGGCCTGGGCTTGAATTTGGTGCCAGTGAATCGACAGTAGGCTTTGGCTTGAGCGAGGCCAACGACAGTTCGCTGGGCACCAGTGTCAAGACAAGCTCCATCCCACTTGGGTGCGTGGTTGGTCGTCCTAGCTCGTGCAGGACTATGGTTCCGGATGGTGTTGTAGATTTTGAATTTACACCGCTTCTTTCCGCAGACAGTCTCAAAGGAATTTGTTTTACTTTGTGGGTGTTGACTGCTGCTACTTAAAAATCCATTGGATCCAGGCTATCTACAGTGTCCCACAGTACTTCTTCCTCTTTGATTGGCGTGTGAGCGACTTGATGATGAGTAACAGCCTGATCGGCGAAGTCATCATCATCGTTGAGGGTGACATTGGTGAGAATGACTTCACCGGGGTCATGTTGTGCCTGGTCGTCCGTGAAGGCAGTGAAGTCGATCTCATACGCACCTAAGGCATGCTCTGCTTGCTCGCAGAGCTCGTATAGGATTCGCTTGGCTGGTCTGGTCTGTAACATATGGCTGACATTCTTTCTGAGAGCCATAGGTTTAGGACAGTCCCTAATGAGGTGATATTTGCTTCCACAATTGTGGCAAGCACGTATATTACCGAAGCGATCCGTACCATTCTGGGTCTGGGCAGGGTTGTGGGAGAAACGTTGGGGAGGATATGGAGTTCTTGGATTTGAAGAAGCGGAACCAGGGCGGCGGGGGATGCCATACGTGTTCTGACGTTGAAAGTGAATACCAGGGATGGAAGGCAAGGGCTGGGTACGGGAAATGTCAAGCTGATCACGGCGGCGTCCTTCTTTCTGCTTCTGCTCTTGTAGCCAAGCGGCATCAAGGGCAGTATAGAGCTGTTGAAATGTCCAGGGGGGTATGGCAGCCAGACTTTGTGTTAATACACTCTTAGTCCACTCGACTCCAATCACAGCATCGTGCAGATACTCCGTTTTGTCTTGTTCCGATTGGTGCGTGGGAGGACCTTGTGGGGTGTACTTTGTGATTGTTTCACGAAGTTCTTCCAATGCTTCTGACACAGGGATTCTTTTCGTCTCCAAAATTCGGGAAAGTCGGAGATTTCGGAGGAGTCTACGAACTCTATTTTGTCGTGTCAGGCTATTTAACTCGTTAACCATGAGTAAAGTAGCAGAATTGAAGTCTTGGGCATGTTGGATGACGTGAGAGCGATAATATCTTTTCGCTTCACCATCAAAAACGTTATGGAAGAATCGGAGCATTTGCTCGTCACTTAAGTGGAAATCTTCAGCACAATCGCGATAGTTGTTGATTGCGTCATGAATATCTTCTCCGATTTTTCCAGTGTACCGGTCCTCCTTTTTGAATCTTGACGAAATATTGTGAGCAATCTTGGAGTTCGGGGCATCAACTGTCGGCAGAAACGATTGAGTGCTTCCTTGTGTCGACCCGGAGGCGGAACTGGTGAGACCTTGATTGGCGAGGATACGGTCAGTGTCATCGACATATAGCATGTTTACCAGACCGTGAGAAATACGGTTGGTAGTAGGGTGCGGGGTGTATGACAATCCTTTGACCACAAGGTAATCACGGATAAGTCGATATAACACAATAGGGCCTCGTAACATTTCCCTTGCGTATAGAACTTCGGGGGGAAGGTCAGCACGAAGGTTACTACAACAAACATTGGGGTCAGGTTGGGGGTCCGCCATTACATGCAGGGCTATTGTAGCCTTAACATCGCATTGGATCATGGATCGGGGTTCATAACTTGTTAAAGCATCTCGGATTCCATTTAGAGTAGCCATATTAAAAATTATTGTAAAATAATAGATAAAATGGATCCGGGCTAAACGCGAACGTTAACGTCAAAAAATGTTCCTGTGGTACGTGGTGTGTGTACTACGTGTAAACGTGTGGTGTTTTGTACCCTTGGTGGTATTGCAGACACGTGTGTAGGTGTTCAACAGTAGTACGCGTGTATGCGTAGTCGATATGAACACGTGGGTGGGTGTGCGTGTAGTAACACGTGGTTGCGTGTGCGCGTAGTTACACGTGGTTGCGTGCACAATGGCAACACGTGTGTGCGTGGCGGGTAAGCACACGTGGGTGCGTGGTGGCGCCGAAAAAATTCTTCAGTGACAAGTGTCCCTTTCAAATATTGTAAAAACTTTAGAAAATTTTAACAATTACAGTTTGGCCAAACAATTTCCAATTATTTCTGGATAGTGCGCAGCTTGCGGAGGGCGCCGTGATGGATAGTGCCGGCGTAATGCTGGTCTGCGTCGTGTGCGTTAGCAAAGCGCTTGACACAAACCTTGCAGTGCAATTTTTCGCGTGGGTATGATGCTGCAGAAACTACCCGCTGATGTGGTTGACCAGCTTCGTGGACTCGGCGCTGACGATAACTCGTAAAGGTGCGAGCGCAAGGGCGGCAGAGGTATTGCGTAGGACGGCGGCGTGGGGGATTTGCTCTACGTCGTGCGCGCTGAGTAGCTACGCGGTAGATGGTAAGGGCGCGGCCCTCGTCGAGGTCGAGAGACGGCGCAGCGGCGGTAGAAGTTTCCTCGTCCGAAGCTTCTACTGCCTCTATATCGACGAGGCGGGGGGCCGTAAACAGCGTAGAATGCGAGGCGCAGCCCTCAAGCTGGACCGGCGATACAGGTGGAGTGGTATCGCCGCGGGGGGGCGTTCGGGAGATGTAGGCAATTGGCGTCCGGGAAGCGGATGCGGACGGACGGACACGGAGCGGCGAGCTTGAGCGCGTAGACGGAGTGCCGTGATACGGCGGTGGCGATGCGGCGGCGGTAACGAGGGCGGCGGCGGCGGCGATGCGGCGTTCCCGAATTACGTCGGGGTGGTTGGTAGGGCGCTTTACCCGTGCCATTAACAACTGCGCTAATGCGCCAGGCGTACAGTATTTCGTACAGTACGCCCAAATGTATAACGTCCGCTGTAAAATTAGACAGTAATTATTACAGTGAACGTTAGGGACAAAATTGTTTTCTTGTAAAAAATTTCTTGATTTCCAATTCGGCTGATTGAATAAGGCGGCCTTATTCCGGAGGCGCAAACGAGTTGATTCGACGGTTGGTTAAGGCGGGCCTTATTCCAGGGACGGGGCAGGACCAAACGGGGCGGCGGTCCCGTAAACTTATAAGTGTCGGGAGACCGACCGATAGGGGGCGGTCCGGAGGGGATTTTAGGAAACGGGGAAAGGGTGGTAAATAGGGTTACCTTAATAGGAGGGGGAGGAGCGGCAGGCTATTGCCTCAGAACCGCTACGGACGGTGAGCACGGTCGGGGGACGGGGTTGTCGGGTTGATGGTTCAGGTGATCGAATGTGCTGAGGTCGAAGACGAGTAGCGTCTTCGACCTGGCTTTATAGTCCTATTGACTCTACAATAAAAGTAGGCGCACTACCATAAAAGGGAGGTTGCGCCACCCACGAAATATGTCTAAACGGTTACACCCTAAACAAGTAGAATTGTAGGTGGCACGTCCTTAAGGGACTCTATAATTGATAGCTAAATGTAGCCTACATAATCCCTGAATTGATATTGATAACATAGAAGTGTGATATCTACTGTAGTCTAGTCAATAAGTCTAACACTGCGGGACGGGTGGATGGCAAGCATATGAGTAAAAATTGTGGCGCCGAATCAAATGTTGGGGATGGAAGAAGTGTGTTACATGAGGTAGCAGATGTAGGTTTTTTTTTTTTTTGGGCAGGTGTGCGAATTACAGAGTTACAGAAACGAGTGTTTGATGAAGCATTTGACAGCATTGCGAAGATTATATCAGGCATGAGCCGTTCGTCGTCACAATTCACTCAGTAAAGCTACGGCGGCAACGGTCCAAGACCAGCTCTGACTCAATTGCGGGCGTGACGGACTTGAAACATGAGGGCGTTGATTGGGAGCTGAAATGAAGGCAGGGCAAAGTGGCACGTCATGTGTTCCGCGCTGGAAAACGTTGTTGTCATTACACACCACGTCTTCTTTATCTTTATCTCTATCACAGGGTATCATAGGGGCATCTCCTCACGTGTATGTGCAACGCATTGTTGTTATTTGGCGCAATGCTAACGGTGGTAGCGTTTAATTCGCTATTGGCAGAGAGTGAAAGGTAACGGTTTGCCAGTGTATACCTGTCACAGCTCTGTCGCAGTGTGTCGCAGACTGAGGCCCTGTTGCAAAGTCACACCGTCGTAGTGTAAAAAACGTTGGAGCGCTGTTGTTGCTCGAAGCGTGGTGCGGACGGGGACGGGGGTGGTGCCACTGCCGGAAGCCGCAGTGGTGTATCCGCAACAATCGGAAAGCGAACATGTGTCCTCGTTCACCAATTTTTCACGTCTACCTTGAGCCTTGTGAGGCTTCATTAATGTTTTGATTTTTTGGACTGGATTTTAGTTGAAAAATTGAGAAGTTGTCAAATTTCCAAAAGACCAGCCCGCAAAAAAAAGCTTGGTGTTTGGGGTCCGGTTGCACGCATGGTTCTCTTCAAACCTTGATTTGTATGCTTTATTCAATGACTATTGTTCAAACCTTGATCGTGGAGGGAACGAATAAGGTTACCGTACCCAAGGGTACGAGACGTACAGTACGAGACGTACGGGCCTATACTGTACCCTTGGGTACTGTACACCAATATGGGAAATCCGAGACTAATGTTAGTCACCAATTGTTAACAATTGTTGGGGTCTTCAAGAGCTTTATGTAAAGCGCTTGAAGACCCCAACAATCATGATTAAAATGATTGGGTGTCCGTGAAAAGTTTCTAAAATGTTTTGGACCGGAACGCAACATGGAAACTGGAAATCCGTGCATTGCTGTACGATTTCCAAATTCCAAATTTCCTACTTCACTTTTCGCCTTTCCCCCGTCCCCCGTCCCCCGTCCCCCCAGATCCCAAACCTTCATCTGCTACTGTAATGCCCGCTGTTCCATTGGCTGTTCTACTGTATTCCGCCCCGCCGACAAACAAAAAACTAAAAACTAATTTATACTTTTTACTTTCTGCTTTTTTCGCTTCCGCTATTCTCCGTCCCCCCCCCCCCAAACCTCAAAGTCGCGTCCCGCGCGAGCTGTTGTTGGTGCGTGTTGAGATGATGTCTTGACCGTGAGGTCATGACTCCACTGCCCTTTCCCCCTCTACACGCCACCCTTCTTTCCCGTCTCCGCCGCTCTCTCGCCTCCCGCGACCTTCTCCCCGCCTCCACCCGCGTCCTGCTGGCCATCTCCGGCGGCCAAGACTCGCTCGCCCTCGCCGAGCTCCTGCGCACCATCCGCACCCGAACAACCCCACCCCCGTGGCCCTCGCTCGCTCTCGCCTACTGCGACCATCGCTGGCCGCACGACCACGGCATCCGCCATCACGTCTCGGCCTACGCCCGCAAAGCTGCCCTGCCCTTGCACGTCTTCGATGCCGCCGACGCCCCGCCGGGGGCGTCGGAGTCGGCCGCCAGGGAGTGGCGCTACGCCGCCCTGTCCTCGCTCGCGCTGAACCATGGCTTCCAGGCCGTCGTCACGGGACACACGCGCACCGATCTCGCGGAGACCGTCCTCTTCAACCTGGCGCATGGCGCCGGCTCAGACGGCCTCTCCGCGATGACCTGGCGCCGAACCCTGTGCGAGGGCGTCACGCTTGTGCGTCCGCTGCTGGACATCTCCCGCGAGGAGACGGGCCGCTTTTGCGAGGAGGAAGGCCTGCACGTGTGGCGGGACGTGTACAACGATGACGCCAAGTTTGCGAGGAACCGTGTGCGGAAGACCGTCATGCCCGCGCTGAAGGAAGCCCTGCACGGGAAGGTCGAAGAGGGTCTGGCGAGGAGCGCCACCTTGCTGAGAGACGAGAGCGACTACTTGGAACGGGTGGCGGCGCGCGTGTTTGATCGCGTCGTGTGCCTTCTCGCCGACCGCTTGAAGATTGATCGCGAGCTGTTGCGGAAGGAGAGCGTGCCCGTGCAGAGGCGCGTCGTCAGGAGGGCGCTCAGGGAGGGCTTGGGCGTCAAGCACCGGAGGAGCGTTTTTAAGCACGTCGAGGCTGTGAGAGCCCTCGTGGCAGATGACGTCGGGAGCGCGGCCGCCTCGCTTGTTTGGGGCAGCGAGGCCAAGGTCGTCTCGGACAGATGGATTGAGATTAGAGAGCCCGTGCAGGTAGAGGCGGAGGGGTGAACACGGTTGCGTGCGGAGGACCAGGACGAAAGTCTCGAAAAGTCTGCACGATTCTTGGATCAGAAGTGCATCGGCAATGCATGAGGCAAGCACAAGTTTTGAGATGCTTTTTTGCGAATCGATTGCCGGACTGCGTTGCTCTGTATTAGACAGACTATTCGCTATTATCTGTCAAGAGGGCCTCCAGCAGAGTCGCTGCGGTCCTGTCTTCCTTGTCGTCTTCGAGAGTAAGCAGAACTGGCATGTTGCAAAGAACAATCTCCATGGTGACAAGAATTGCAAGCAGCCAAGGATTAACCGAAAGATGATAAAACTTGCGTCCTTTCACGACAGCGCGCCCTCGCGCGAAGCAAGGAGCATGCTGATATGCCAACATGATTGAAAGCAATAATATTGGCAGAGCTCGAGGGCTCGCTCCCTGAGATTCTGCAAGTGCAAGTTCCCTGTGAATGGTGGTGTTTGGGCGGACGCGACTTCCCACGCGAAATAAAAGACGCCTCAGGGGAGAATTAAGTATTATCCAGTGGTGTTGCGGAAACTGTTCACTTTGCTGATTTCGGGACATGCGAGGCCGGCATCCTTGAACAAATCTCTGAAAGCAAGTAGATTGGCAGTGTCTGCGTTGTCCAGACCACCCTACCTCTCCTTGTCGACACGCACTTTACCATACATCTTCATGTTCGTTCTGGGTAGACGGAGGTTTGTACTGCTATCGACTGTACGAGTGAAGTACGCATACTGTAGGCATATCTCGGGAGGGTGTTGCCAGGTGCCACAAACCGGTCTAACTGGGTCTCGATTTTCTTTAGCGAGCAGGACTGGAAAGGCTTGTTTTGGATCAGCGAAATGATTCGTAGTCGTGGAGCGAGTTGGTTAGGCGTGAGATGAAGAGAGATGAGACTCTCATCTCTTTTTCTGGCGCTCTCATCACGAGAGCGCCAGAAAAAGAGGAGCTGCAGGAAACGCTTTCTGGCCTGCCATCTATCATACCTCATTGCGATAAACCAATAGTCTTCTCTGCCCACACTCGTCCAAAACCTCCCGACCGTCGACCATCTCCACACCCTACCGTAGATACCTCCCCTTCACCCCGATCCCTGACAACATCAATACGTACACCTTCTCCCCCTCCAACGCAACGGGCTATCGCAAAATATGTGGTGGCCATTCCCCTTTCTGGCTTTCGCCGACGGCAAATGCCCCGTCGATCACAAAAACATGTCCAACGAACAACTCGACGGCATGATGGCCCAGTACAAGCGCGTCGGCCACGACAAGTTTCTCGCGGGACTCGCAGAGTCGGAAAAGTCACAGCAACCATCCGCCAAACCATCGCCTGCTTCACCGTCACCGCCAGAAAACCCCGATGCATGTCCAGTAGACCACAAAAACATGACCCCCGACCAAATCGCAGCCTACATGTCCTCCCGAAAGAAAGACACACAATCCGCACCCGACGCCACGCCTCCGCAGCCACCCGATGCCCCCGTGTACGACGTCTACGGCCAAGAGCTGGACCGCGCCAACCTCATGCCGACCACGCCCAACCAGCTCCCATCGCCCGGTCAGAAGCAGCCGTTGTCCACGGATCGCGTCAAGTCCACCATTCCCAAGGCCGGCGAAGACGCCGACCAGACCTGGACTTACCCCTCGCCGCAGATGTTTTTCAACGCTCTCAAGCGCAAGGGGAAGGCCGACGGCATCCAGGAGGCCGACATGGACACCGTCGTCCATGTCCACAACAATATGAACGAGCGCACGTGGATGGAGGTCATGCAATGGGAAACCCGCTTCCATTGCCACGAATGTGACAATCCAAAGCTCAAGAGATTTCAGGGAAAGCCGCACGAGCTGTCGCCGGCCGCCAGGTTTCGCGTCTGGTTCAGGAATTATCCCATGCCGTTTGATCGACATGACTGGGTCTTGGACCGCTGCGGCAAGACGGAAGCTCGTTATATCATTGACTACTACTACAGGGAGGGCCCAGACCCGATCGAAATCCATGTCCGACCGGCCCTCGATTCCGTCTCTGCCGCGTTTGACCGCTTACGCAGCCGTGCAGAGACGGTCCGCGACGCAATTCTAGGTGATTCCGCAAAGGAAACCTCCGCAACCGCACCAGAGCTTGCTCCTAACTGGAGCGCGGGGCGTGTAGTGTCGGGAGATTCGTTAGAAGAGGGCGAATTTTCGTTTCTGAGCAACACCACTGCGGACTCGCTTCGCGAAATATCTAGTGAGGTGCAAACGCGCTGCGCAAAAGTGGGCGAGGCCTTGCGGGAAGCGGGCGATGACCCGGCCAAGATGGAGAAGGCCAACGTGGCCGTCAACTACTGCATGGCGCAGACAATTTGTAAGGCACAGGCCGCAGAGTTCATGGGTGCTCTGGAGAGTCGCGGCGACGAGGCTGGGGCGTACGCGAACATGACGTCGTGCTTGGACCGATTTCATATCATGGCAAGGCGCGCGCTGCTTGAAGCTTCGGGAATTGCCACAAGTGGGCCGGAGTATCCAGCCGGTGTCACGCCATCTGTCGGGGGGAATGCGACGCATGCGCCAGCATCGAGCGTGGAGAAGCGGTAGCGAAACCCCTGGAGAAGGTTGTGTGCAACGAGTGTTTGTAAATAATGTTGGTGTTACTACGTACAGTGAAAAAAGTCATTCTTGCTTTGTCTTTTGTGCTTTGGACCCGATAACGTGGAGGAGCATGGTATTTGTCCGAGGGAGAAGCTATCAAGGGCTTCTCCGCAGGGGCAGCTTGACACATAAATGAATTTGGGTCCTGTGCCGCGCTTACATACGCGTCGTTGCGCAGAACCGTGATGTTTTGTATTCCTTGCCGGTCGCAGACTCAATTGATGCGGGGTGCGAGGTCTTTTTTTTAGATTCTATCTGGATCCTCTCCAGTATCCAGGAACAATGTGTTGGTGGCCGATTCGTATCCAAACAGTTCTGCAAAGCGCCCCCATTCAATGGCGATCTCGAGCTGGCGCCTCGCTTCCATTGGGGAAAAGTGCTTGAGCAGAATGGTGTCAAAGATGAGTTCCTGCGGGAGCTTTTGGTTTCCAGCCGCGGTCAACAAGCGATAAATCTGGGCAATGAGCCTCGCGCCAGATGCCTTCAAGGCGGAGTCGCGCACCATGCTTTTCCTGTCATCAATAGATGCGGCGATGAAGCGGTTTCCCTTGGCGTTAATGCGAACATCGCCATCATCGACTTGAATCAAGTCGAGAATACTTGCAGCATCGATGAGCGGGTACAAGTCATCCACGTCCAGCTGCAGGCGCTGGCCAAGCCTCGACAAATCGTCGGGCTCCTCTGCAATAAACGAGAGCAAGCCGCTGACACTTCCGATGCGAACTGCCGGGAGCTGGGGATACCTTTCGACCTCGGGCGAGGGCAGGGGCGTTTGCTCCTCGAGCTCCGTGTCGACCGGGCGCAGCGGCTCGGACAAGGCGAGGTTGTGCAGGTGTATGTGGTTGGTGTGTTGCGGGAGATTCTGGATTAGCGGGGTGGGCAGGGGCGGCAAGGCGGGCGGCAGGCCGGGTTCCCGCGGGACGCCCGTGAGGACACTGATGTCGTCCTGCGACACGGCATAGTCCTTCTCGGAGAGGATGGTGTAGACGAGGTCGGTGATTTCCTGAAACAGGGGCGACTTCCTATTGCGCGGGTGGGGCATGTTGACCGGGAGGACGGTGCGAATGTGGCCCGGGTCCCTGCCCAGTATGACGATGCGATCGGCCAGACTGACAGCCTCCTCGATGCCGTGGGTGACAATGAGGACGCTGGTGGTGGGGACATCGCCGGCCTGCCACAGCTTGAGGAGCTCCGAGCGGAGGTTCTCCGCGGTGAGGACGTCGAGTGCGGAGAAGGGCTCGTCCATGCAGAGGAACTCGGGCTCGACGGCGAGTGCTCTGGCAAAGCCGACGCGCTGCCTCATGCCGCCGGAGAGCTCCCTCGGGTATGCGTTTTCGTATCCGTCCAAGCCGATGATGTCGATGGCGCGCATGGCGCGGGTGCGGCGGTGGTCGGGCGGGGCGGCGGGGTCGGCGACGCGGGACAGGCCCAGCATGACGTTCTCCAGGACGGTGAGCCAGGGGTAGAGGGCGAAGGTCTGGAAGACGATGCTGGCGCCGGGGTTGGTGGCGGCGAAGCGGCGGCCCTTGTACAGGGCGGCGCCCGCCGAGGGCTGGGCCAGGCCGGCCAGGATGCGCAGGATGGTGGACTTGCCCGAGCCCGACGGCCCCAGGATGCAGACGATCTCGCCCTCGCACAGGTCCAGGCTGATGTCGTCGATGACGCGCACGCCCGCGACGTCGTACGACACGTTCTGCAGCGAGGAGATGACGCGGCGCGGCGCGGGGGCCGACGTGGGCG